CAAACGTTTGTGCACGACCCATTGCGGACTCCCCAAATGCTTGCTTTAGGATTTCATAGGTTTCCGTAGCCGTTTTGGCGAGTCTTTGGCAAAATTTGATGCACACGCCATTCCGAAATCGCAGGAGGGTCGGTGTAATGCACTACCAAAACGCCCGTAACTAAGAGACAAATGCTAATTCGATGATGCCGGCTGGCACACTGATTCACTATGAATGTAGGCCGCACCCCCTAAAGACAGAAGCTCGTACTACATCCGGTTCGCCCGCTATTGACACAGTCTTGAAACTTTCCGATCGCACCTCGTATTATCTCTTCTTTAAGCTTGTACAAGTGCTGCATTTCTTCTGAGTTTTATTTTTGTGTATCTGTGCACATTTGTTTATTGAGAAATTACATTATTAAAAATTTCTTATATTAAATCAGTGGTACCCACATAAAGTTACTGCTTACGCCAGTGGTTCTTACCCTTTTGTTTTTGCTATCACATGTTTAAGTTACACAGAATGATAAATGCCCTCCGTCTCATTCTTTAAAAATAAATTAATATTTCTTCACATATGGCAACTGAACACTGCTCATTGAACCAGGATTCGTCATTATAAAGACAGCCAGTGAAATAGTGCAAGATATCCAGCTCTGTATTTGTTACATTGCGTTAAGTAATACAGACCAGTGGTGGGCTCTTGTGAACACAGTACTGAATCTTCAGTTTCTATGAACATTGAGATTTTTCATCAAAATAACATTTCGAATTTCTATATAAAGAAAACATTGAGATTTTTCTGTAATAACATTTCGAATTTCTATATAAAGATTATGTAGTTATTTTATTCAGCTCTCGGATCCAAATTTATATTGTAGCCCCCTGGAACTGTTGGTGATCACATGTCATCAGTTGCACTTGGTTTCATAGTCCTGAAATTTACTTACAAGGTTGCTCCTGCTCTGTCTGCCGTGCCTGGACCAGCTAGTGCTCTTCTACCAGTTCTTTGTGACGCAGCAGGTGGCTTCGTATCGAGTTTGCTGCAAACTGCTCTCGGTACTACTGGCCATCTTCCTTGAGCTAGTACAAAAGGTAAATACCTTGAGATGTGACAGTGTCGCTTGTTATCTCCAGACTTCATATAGACTTCAGTTTCGTTATCTCACCAATATTAATATGGATGTTAAAATTAATCTTTTAGGGATTTTGTATTCCTTCTGAACTTGCCGCAAATGAAGAAGGATCTCAGAAGGACAATCCTGCTGGTGGATTGGGACTGGGAGAAGGAGTAGGGGAAAAGGATATCTCTGAACAAATAGACAGTGAAGAGCAATTGGAAGATGCCAGACCAAAAGGAGAAGAAAAAGAAGAAGATGATAAGGACTGCAAGGCATGTTTAAAGATATTGAATCCTGCCATTAACCTTTATTGTGCAGGAGTCAGTGTTACAAATACCCACACTCTAAAGCTGCTAGCCAGACTTTAGCTCTCGAGTTAACAGTTTGGCAGTGGTGGTGTGACGTACATCGAACTCAATTATGTGTAAGCTGGACTTCGTGGACAATAAGGGTTAATTACAAAGGATATTTATTTATTTTATTTATTTAGTGTTCTGTCTGAGGACAGGTCCATATGAACAGGATCCTTCCATCCTTTTCTCGGACTGGGACCTGTTCATATACGTTCTTGGCAGATGATCCAGAAGTGGTTTGCCATTGCCTTCTTCTGTGTGTGAATGGAGTAATTGTTGGGATGCCACGGAGGAAAACTCCGTGTTGCCTAGACCACGGCCTTGCCCAACACAAGTTATAAATTCGGGCACCGCCGGGATATAGGATATACTAATCAAAATGTTCTAAATTGAAGGAGGTCTTCATGAAGTCAGATGAAGAAATTTACACTGCTGCATCCTAATATTGTGTATGTGAAGTTACATTTGTTTTAACCATCACACAAACACTTTTGTCTAATACAGGCAGCATGTTGTGGGAGTAAAATTGTTTATATTGGACACTAAGCGTTTGGTGACTGCCTGCAATTGTAGTAGTAGTAGAAGTACATCATTCTGCCAGTTTGCGGCACTGCCAATATAATAATAATAATGTAATTATACTATATGTAGGATTGTGTTAAGTGTTAATTATAAAAAAGTAGATAAATAAAAAATACATTGCAATTATTGGCAGTGGTACAAAGAACAAAATCATGAGGCTTTTTTAGAATTATGGCACACCAAAAGCCAATAAAACTTCATTGAAACATGTGGATTTCTCAACTTGTAGCTAATATGAAAGAAACTTTGATAGAATAATGGAAAACTACTCATTGATGGAGATAAATTGAGGATGTGCTGAAGACGATGTATCCTATGAAACGTCTTTTATTAGTGGCTGTAATTTGAAGTGGTGCATTTGCAAAGCTGAAGAATGGTGAAATATGTTTAACTGCTGTTCATTTCACTAATTTTTTTTATCCCAGAATTCCTCAAATGAGGGGAAGAAGTGTGGAGGGAGAGGTAGAAAACCCCTTGGCAAGTGAAGTGACCAGGGGGCAAGGCTCCTAGTCCAGCCATAGTTGTGAAGTCACTCTGTTTTATGACCATAATAAAAACAATAATATGTAGTCACATTTTGCTTTTAGCAATTATTTTGTTTGATGTTGCTGTGTACTTCATTCTCCGGGGTCATGACGTAGTCTGAAAATTCTTAAAATTATACTAATTTGGAATTTAATTTTTAAGCCTCTTCTTGATTACATTAGTGGCATGTAGTTCACTTTGTAAGATTAAATTATATGTCAGTGTGATTTAGATATCCGTTTCTAAATAAAAATGCTTTCAACAAGAGTGTAAAATGTGTTTACCGTACATTGCAACAAAAATTCTTTCGTTATGATATAGGAGGAAGAAAATGGAATTGAAATGTCACAAGACTTTGATGGTAAGGTGCAAGATTTGGAAAAGAAAGCAGACGAAGAGGATGAGTCTGACTCTGATAAAGATAATGAAGAGGAACCAGATAAGGAAATGGGAGAAACAGATGCTGGAGCAGACAGATTGGATCAGCAGGTATCAGTTTCTGGGCAAGGTTGTAAATAATGCCAACTTTTTTTATTTCATTCTGTTTTTGTAGGTTTTTCTTTGGTAATATTTTATGGTGTTGAATATTGGTAGTTTTTGATAACAAAGGTTTTATCTGAAAAAATAAGTGCTATAATTTAATGATTTGAACTTAAATAAAATATTAATCGCAGATTCCATTACGCTTAATAAAGTTATGAATATTGAGATATCTGTTTATCATTAAACATATCTTTAGATATATCATTGTCATGCATGGATCATTAGAATATACTAATAAGATTCTTGTTTGTCATTTGTCATAATGGTTCATAACCTTTATGACCCTGGAACAGGGTATTTAAGTTTTCATGAAATTTGTAAGACTTGAGGTTCTCACAGCGGTGAGTATGAAGATGAGTATGAAATTTGTTTTGTCAAAATTTAATGTCAGTCGAAGATATCCGTCTTCTGGGTTATTGCGCTGTGTAGTCTGGTCGATGTTAACCAACGTTTCAGAGGTCATACTGCCTCCGTCATCAGGGCGATGAATATCAAAATTTCTGTCTTCTGGGTTGTTGCGCTGAGTAGTCTGGTCGATGTTAACCAACGTTTCAGAGGTCATACTGCCTCCGTCATCAGGGCGATGAATATCAAAATTTCTGTCTTCTGGGTTGTTGCGCTGAGTAGTCTGGTCGATGTTAACCAACGTTTCAGAGGTCATACTGCCTCCGTCATCAGGGCAATGAATCGCTGTGAGAACCTCAAGTCTTACTTAATGTCAGTTTATTGGCTTTAATCCATTTTTTCAAGCTAGCAAAGACATTGTTCATGTAAATTTGGAAGTAGTAAATTTCTGGATGGGAAATAATAATATTAGTGTAATCCACAAAAAGTAGTACCATCCACACATTTGTCGTTATGCTCACGTCTCTCTTACTATTTGAAAATATTTCTGTCAAGACATTTTTTACCCTAGCATGTATGTCACCTTATTTTTCCATGACGTTTCTTTATGATTCTGTCTGACAGTTCCACGATAGGTGATAGCTCTTGTGTGTAGGTCGTCATTTCAATCCAGAGAGGAGGAAAATTCTCCGTGCAAAGTTTATGGTTTACCCCTTCCATTCTCCTTATGAGCCTTGTCACTGTCTTCATCATCTGCGCTACATTTTGCGTGTCTTCCCAAGTATGTGCTCGTATTGGAAATGCAGCCAGTCATGTCACAAAGTTTATGTTTGTTCTTATGTCATGCCAGTATCTTCCCCCTCGCCAGAATATTGTTGATATTGACAGCATTGAGTAATTAACCTCAAATGCTTTCTTTCTATGTGTGAAATATATACCATGCACTGTTTTGTTTTATTTATAGATTTGGGGCAGTGATTCCGAGGATGAGGTAGAAGAAAATAATGAAGCCGAAAGGGGAACCGGAGAAAAAATTGGAGATCGAGAACTTGGAGCAAATGATGAAAATAATAAACCTGGAGAGGAGAGTGATGGAGAGGAAAGTGGGAAACAGGAATTAAAGAGGAAAGAAATCAATGAAATGGATGATCCAGATGAAAATGATGATCAGATAGATCCATATCATGGTCAGTTCTTTTATAAGATACTTATGCAGTCTTTGGTGTTGTTGGTGTCGAACCTGCAGGTTCTGCTACCAGGGAGTTAGTTAGTTAGTTAGTTATACAAAATATGAATTGGTATATAAGCACTAAAAGGGGCTGTTTTCAAGACCTGGAATCTTTTAGTAAAATGTCCAGAATCCCTGAGGTCGAGCCAGAAATTTAATCTCAGCACGGACTTGGTAAAAGATAAAATATTTTGCATCCATCGAACCATAAGTGGAAGGGTCGTCTCAGGATAGCCAGCCAGCAGGCCAATTTCCATGCCTGGGAGGGCTTCTGAGAATCATGAATTTATTCATAAATGACCGAAACCTTAATTTATTGTGCAGTGAATGTGGTCATATCACATACATGTGCTTTCCCCACTACTCTGTCATATGACAGTGTAAATGAGCCAGACTTTCATGTTCCTTGGAAGGATCATTTGACAGTTTTTATTCAGAGTTTTTTTCTCATTAGAATATTAGTAGCTTCTCCTAATATGTGGATATTTAGTCATGAAATGAGGTATTTTGCAAAGCGTGTAGCTGCTTTTTGTCTCAAGGTTTCCAGATGGTGTACCAGTCAGCACTGGAAATTCTCCAGTTCATTCTAAATACAGCTGAGCACAAGACTACATAGCACCATGATTTTGTTCAATGCTTGTGAACATACAGAAATTGATTCTCACTATTGTGTTCAGAGTGAATATTTACTATCATTAAACTTGCATGATTCTTTTCTTCTTCTGTGTGTCAAGTTAAAATCTGACCATGTGATTCAGACATATTTTAAATATCACAAAATATCTCTTAATTCCCTTATAAATCCCACACTTTTAATGGTTACAATGAGATAATATATTCACTGTTTGATTTTTTTGAGAAATCTGTTTACTCCCAGGTTCTAAACTGACAAAAATTAATACTTTTTGTACCGTAAACTTTTCATGCTGTTATGAATTCTCATGATGAGCCGGGATAGCTCAGTCAGTATGGTGACTAGCTACGGGCTGGACGACCGGGGTTCGATCCCCGATGGGGGCAGAGGGTTTTTCCTCTAGCCTCTGTGACCAGACCAGCTCTGGGGCCCACCCAGCCTCCTATCCAATGGGATTTCGGTCAGCATATTTTGGAATGAATCACACTCCCAGACCATGCACATTTTACATTTTATTTGCTTAGTTGCTACAGACATTCTGCTGTTCAGGTGCTGGCGTGACCTTCCTATAAAGAAAAGGAAGGAGGCTCAGAAGCAAATACATGTTACTAATTTCTTCAAAAATGAACTGTCATTTACAAATTTATATTACGTTAATTACAACTTTTGTTTGTGAAGTATTTTTAATTTGATGCCATATTGTGTTTTCTTCATAATTTAATGATGTTATAAATTCAGTTGATATTTATACTTTTTTCTGTTAGTCTTGTGTATTATTCAGCATTTACAGTTATCCGACCGTTCTTCGGTCTCATTTAGGTTGGATTATTAGGACTCTGCTGTAGCATGTAAACTGGATGTAGGCATCCGATAAAAATGTTAACTTGTTTTAGGAATTTCAACATGATAATTTTTAAATATATTTATTTTGTACAGTCTATACACAAACGTTTGACAAACGTCAGACGCACGTTACTCTACACAACATCTCTTGATAAATATAACGTCTGACTACAATAAGCAACTTACCATGAAAATGGAAAGCTACAAACAGAACTACGGATCATTATAATATATTGCATCAAATATCTAATAGTTTTTAAAATATTTTAAATTGATAAAAACCTGAAGACGACGGTATTACCCGTCGAAACATGTCGTTTTAATAAAAGCGCTAAAAAATATAATGTAAAATCGTATTTACGATTAAGAGCGCTAATATAATATTTTACACAACAAAATGTTTTAATATTATATAATTTTTACAACACCAATAAACTTCAAACGTTTGTGTATAGACTGTACAAAATAAATATATTTAATCAAACACAAACAAGACGCATATAAGATACAAAATGATAATTTTTATTTAACATTTCTATCAAAGACCATAATAATTAAGAAAATACGAGTAGCGTGTTATTTATTATACTTCACACTTTAATGGTTGGGAGAGAGAACTTAAATTTACTCATGGATTCTTAACTTTGATCTGATAGAGTAACTCCAGTATTCGAATCTGATAATTCTTCATGTGCGATGGGGAACACAGATTCCATATTTATCAAACATTCAAATTTAACCCTTTCACTTGAAATCCAATACACATTATCTTCGTACAGAGCTATTCAAGATATATTTTTGAATTTAAGAAAGCAAATTACTTTACATCCAGCTTTAGACTTTAAAGAAAGGTAAATTAGAGTTACATGTCACAAGGTTGTCTGTCGTGCCAACACAACGCAACATGAGCTGTCTTATCCTGCCTTATCTGTTTGAAAATCAGAAGCGTTTACAGTAGTGTCAGTATTTTGATACAACGGTGACTTTACACACGTGTACTGAAGAATATTTTGCAATGAGGAATGAAAAGTTTTCTTGTAGAAATATCTGAAAACCTAGGTTCATGGAAAATCTTACCGAGTGTGTCTTTTGCCACGGTTGATATGAGTTATTACGTACAATAGGCAAGCATGAGCCACTGCCTGAACCTGAACCACTCGACCTTCCTGAAGATCTACAGCTTGATGATGATGATGAAAAGAAGGAAGGAGGAAATGAGGACGGAGAAGAGGAAAATCCCTTTGATATTGACAAAATGAAAGGTGAGTGCCACTTGCGGCAGTAACACAGAATAACTTTTCTGTGTGATGTTATTGTCATTGATGTGTGGAATTCTCTCACCAGTGATGACCTATTAGTAAAAAAAAAGTGTGATTGTTTATTTTAGGTGTCTTTTATTAATACTGTCTCCTTCTGCCACTCTACATGTCTGTGTGGATGCATATTTGTATTGTGATTCTTGCTAAGTATCGCATCCAATATAATTTTAATCCAGACTGAATAAATACTATGTACTATAACTTTAGGAGCCACGGTGGTCTAGCGGTTAGAACGCTGGCCTTGTAGTCCTGGGGTCTCGGGTTCGATTCCCGGCGGTGCCCGAATTTATAACTTGTGTTGGGCAAGGCCGTGGTCTAGGCAACACGGAGTTTTCCTCCGTGGCATCCCAACAATTACTCCATTCACACACAGAAGAAGGCAATGGCAAACCACTTCTGGATCATCTGCCAAGAACGTATATGAACAGGTCCCAGTCCGAGAAAAGGATGGAAGGATCCTGTTTATATGGACCTGTCGTCATGTAATGTGTTGTTCCTGAACCGATGCCCAGCATATATTGAAATGCATATGAATTGTGCTTGCTTGTGGTATGGCACATTGTACATTTTGTCAATATTATTTCTGAACGCTCCCCTTCAGAGAAATAATATGGAAATAATGTGTAGAAAGAAAAATGTTTTATTGATTACTTCTGCTGTTCTACTATTTCAGAACAAAAGGAATCGGAGGAACAAGAAAATGAAGAAAAAGAGTTATCTGAAGAAAGTGAGCAGATAAATACTATCAATGAAGAAATGGAAGAAAGCAGAGAAAAAGAACCAGAGCAAGATGAGATTGAAGGGGGAGGCAGTAAGGATGAAGAAAAGGCAGGGGATGAGCCGAAAATTGAACCCGAGAAAGAAGTTGAAGAAGAAACAGCAAAATCATCTGAGGACCACCCAGCTGATATTCCTGCGGAAGCTGCAGCAGAAATGGACTGGATGTGTGGATCAAAAGATCAGGTCAGTAAAGTCCCTTAGACCTCACAGTGATCTTAACAAGCTTTCCAAGTTGTATGAAATAATATGAGGTCACTGTATCTATTCCAAAATAAGATGTCAAAACAGCGATAATTTTTATTTTTTGGCCATATATTATAAAATATGATGTATTATTATAATTAAAGACTGTCAGACATATCAGAATTTCTGTATAACACCAGTGTTACATGAAAGGTGTAAGAAATGTTGACTTTAATGCTCTTCATGGTAATATTTGTCCATAACAAACAAACAAAACTGGAAGAATAATTTGGCATAAGATATTTATGAATGCTTACAATTTTTAATTGATTCTTAAGTAAGTTAACATGTAAATTGCATTATGCAGGTTGTCTCTGATATAAAGAAAGATAAAAGTGAGATGGGCCAACAACATCCTGAAGATGATAACGCAGAAGAAAACGACGAAAAGCAAGGCGTAGGGCAAGCACAGTCTGAGAAGACAGATACAGGACACTATGGAGATATGGCAACACCCAAGGATAATGTTCAGACTGGTAACAGCCAAAAGGATGAGAACGTGAAGAGAAGACAGCGTTTACGAGAAAGTGACGATAACAGAAGCCTGGGTGAGTTTAATTCGGTACCTGCGCCTTGCAACCTATGCATGACCTCTTTATTCATCTCATAATTTTCTTGTAAGTGTGTAGAAGCAAAGGGAAACCTACTGAATTACTGTGTTTATTCAAATACCTCATACACTTTTTTTCTAACATCCTTCGTAAAATGCCCAAATGTGCTTCACGTACGGAAATTTGATTTGGGCAGAACAAATTGCCACTCGGAAGAATGAACTGGCTTTTACGGGAAGATTGCCAAGGCATTCTTGTGTAAATCGACAAATTCTTTTAAATTGAAAATCACAGAAGAAAATAGAATAAAAATTATAGCCTAATATAACTTTCACAAAGTAAGATAACTTGAGTATATGTTCCTAACATAAAATTATAATAATATCAAATGTGCCATAACTAAAAGTAACTAACTAACTAACTCACTGGTAGCAGAACCTGCAGGTTCAACGCCAACGACACAAAAGCCCATCATTGGCCACGATCCTGAGCCAACTCGATCCATGTACCATCGTCACAGCCTACCTCCCTAAGATCTCAAAATAAATGTTTACAGCTGAGGTTACCGAGCCTGTTAAGAAGAAACTTAGAACAATAAACATTGAAGAGGAAGATGATAGAGAAGATCAAGATGGGGATAAATGTAAGGAGGAAAACGCTGAGCAAGGAGAGACTGCTGACATGTACCAGCATATCAAAGAAGCCAAAAAAACATTTGATGCTGAGGTTTTGGATGCTGCAACCAAGGTGAGTAACTGTTTATGAAGATTTCTGTCTTCTGGGTTGTTGCGCTGTGTAGTCTGGTCTATGTTTACCAACGTTTCAGAGGTCATACTACCTCCATCATCAGTGTCTCAAGATTTCTGTCTTCTGGGTTGTTGCACCGTGTAGTCTGGTCGATGTTAACCAACGTTTCAGAGGTCATACTGCCTCCGTCATCAGAGTATGAAGATTTCTGTCTTCTGGGTTGTTGCGCTGTGTAGTCTGGTCGATGTTAAAAACCAACGTTTCAGAGGTCATACTGCCTCCGTCATCGCCCTGATGACAGAGGCAGTATGACCTCGACCAGACTACACAGCGCAACGACCCAGAAGACAGAAATCTTCATACTCTCCGCTGTGAAAACCACAAATCTTACAACTGTATATGAAATGGAATGTTTCTGCAAGAAAGTTTGTTACTTCTGCAGGAGAAACTGTAGTCAAGTAAAAGTAATTTTGTGACGGTCAATATGGTCACACTTTCCTTTGTACCATTAGGACAAATATGAAACTTTTACCTTAAAGTAGGTCACAGTCATGCCCATGCTTGTGCTGAGTAACTTATCATCGTCATCATCTACTACAGGGACTGGGCCTATTGGCCCGTTCCGAGACAGTTGCTCAAGGCAACTTGTCATTATTAGTCTGGTAAGATGCATTCGAGTAGTGAGTGACAAGCCCACTGCCTCTGCACAATTTCTACGCAATCCTGATTTTGACTGCCAGAGCCATCTAGCAGTTAATCAGGAGACTCGGGTAAGAAATGGCCACTGAATTTTGCTTATGAAACATCTCGTATCATGCTCGTAAGGTTCTTTTACATGCTGTAAATCTACGACGTGGGACCGCCGGAAGTAAGATCAGTACTGCATGTTAATAAGTCTACTTTGAAAGTGATTTAAACACTGATTACTGAAACATTAATTCATAGAAAATGTAACCGTGTTGCACCTGAAGATTAAGGTCAGTAATGACACAGTAAATAAAAATTGTTTTAAAGATTTCTTTAAATACAGGTTGCATATAAAGAATTTTTAATTCGGTGCTTACCTTAGCCAGAGATCTTATTCTTAATGATTAATACCATTTGATTACATTACACCTCTGCAGTTGATACATTAGCACCGAATAACCTTCTACACTCACAAAAGCATGGCCACACACGCTCTAATAACCCATAACCACAAATGTCACAGATGTAAATACTGATTGCAGTTATCCACTTTTCATTAATAGGAACAAGCAGAGAAGCAATCAATTCCAAATTTGGAGGATGAAGATGGAGAAGACGCTAAAGAAGATGACAATATGGACTTTCAAGAAGACTTAGTTTCAGATGAAGAGGAAATCCCTACAAAGAGTTCAGAGAAAATTCCAGGTGATAAGAAGCACAGTGAAAGTAAAGATGAGAAAAAGTCTGGGACGAACGTTGATGACGGTGGAGACGTAGAAATGAGTGTGGAGGTTGAAGGTGACAAAGTGGAAACGCTTGGTGCCGCAAGAGGCAGTGAGACTACATTCCATACCATGTTTGGTGATATTACAACTGATACCTCTCAGTATGAATTAATGTCTCCAGAAGATTACAACACTTTGAGGTCTCAATTGGAAAGCCAGATAGCAACTTGGAGTCAGGTTAGTAAGAAGGATGTATTTATTATATTATTATTTAGTGTTCCGACTGGCGACAGGTCCATATGAACAGGATCCTTCCATCCTTTTCTCGGACTGGGACCTGTTCATATACGTTCTTGGCAGATGATCCAGAAGTGGTTTGCCATTGCCTTCGTCTGTGTGTGAATGGAGTAATTGTTGCGATGCCACGGAGGAAAACTCCGTGTTGCCTAGACCAAGGCCTTGCCCAACACAAGTTATAAATTCCGGCACCATGTCCATATGAACAGGATCCTTCCATCATTTTCTCGGTCTGGGACCTGTTCATATACGTTCTTGGCAGATGATCCAGCAGTGGTTTGCCATTGCCTTCTTCTGTGTGTGAATGGAGTAATTGTTGGGATGCCACGGAGGAAAACTCCGTGTTGCCTAGACCACGGCCTTGCCCAACACAAGTTATAAATTCGGGCACCGCCGGGAATCGAACCCGAGACCCCAGGATTACAAGGCCAACGTTCTAACCGCTAGACCACCGTGGCTAATCAAGAAGGATGATTCACTGATAAAATTATTATATACCAGGAATATTAAATTAGTTTTATTAATGGCATTTCAGTTGTTTAAGTATTGTGTTATCATGATACTTGAATATTATCTTTGGTTGGGGTCGGAGGAATTGTTGTTAACGCTGTTTTTTGCAAATTTCAAATTGTGCCCACAGCATGGATGTGTGTGTCTGTGTGGGCATTCTTATCACTGTTAATCTTTGAGCTCATCACCTATACTCCTCCATATTTGGGTGATCCTGCCACGTGCCAATTTCTGTGCAGGTTAGAATAGTTCGGGCTGGTCAGCTTTACACAAAAATTTGTAAATGCCCTTTAATTAGAAGTATTTTTAAGTAGATATGTGTATTATTGCACATTACATTTTTTATCAGTCTATGGAAGAATTTTTGCTAAAAACATTTTCATTTTAGCCTCCACCGAATGAAGAAGCAGAGAAAGCGTGGGAGTTGTTCAGTGCTGTAACTTCAGGATTGGCTCGAGACCTGAGCGAACAACTAAGGCTCGTGTTAGAACCTACCCAGGCCTCTCGTCTTCGTGGAGATTATCGTACAGGACGTAGAATCAACATGAGGAAGGTAACTTAGAAGAATTTTTTCTGTATTCATCCGAATACCATGCACTTTGTGAATAAGTCATATACCCCAGTTTTTACAGTATTTTTAAGATAAAATTATTATAGTTGATATGTGCCTAGTTCTGTTCCAGAACATGACTAATAAAACTACAGTTACATGAAAAATTAATAAAAGATGTGACTTCGTACACACATTTAAGTGTATATTTCACTGCTTCTATCATTGCCATGGTAATTGATCTTATCAGCTTCGAAGTTGCAGAGTATGGTGCTGATACTTTGAAATTCTGACAGTTTTTCTTCATAAACAGGAAGCCTTTGCAATAAATCTTTGCCGTATTACACGGAAACTGTTTCATTTAAAAAAAAAATCTGCATTTAACATTGGCTTGCATTGAAACCGTAGATTCCAAATTTTATTTTTTCCTTGTTATTCTGCTGTGCTTTACTGTCGCATATCATTCGACACTACAGAACCAAACTGCTTCCTCTTATTTAAATATTAAGAAAACATTTCTTCTGCCTCTGGAAATTTCACTTTTACCCACAGAAATCTCTCCAGTGACTGCTACTTTGTTAGAAAAGACTCGTGTACTTTCTCCAGACTTGGATGCAACTTTCACTTAACATCAGAATTTCTGGCTGTGGTGTGATTCTCTGTTTGTTCTACTTCTCTTAAATTATCAGTTCGTGGTCATAACAGGTGATCAGATAAAGAGCACAGGTTCAAATTCCAATAACAGCGATGAACAGAGTTCATTGAACCCAGCCATAACCCATCATGTCGGTGAGCACAAGTAGGAAGAAGTTTATAACTGTGGTAGGGTAAAGTAAAGCTGTCCCACTATACATACTTGTAAAAAATTACCAGGAAAATTTCAGGCAAAGTGCACTTACCCTATAGCAACAATTAAACTCGGAGAAATAATCTATATAAATCACTGAATACCTGCTACTGTGAGTTGCTTTTAATAGGTGGTCTGCTAATTAGAGCATGGGAATATTTTTCAAGAAGAATTTTGGCCTGGGGGATGAACGATAGCTACGAAAGTCTGTATCAGATGAATGAACAGTGTGGCCGAGAACGTTACATTTAGCAAGAACTTGTCTCACGTCGTCTGACAACAGTTGGAAATTCACTGCCATTCCTTACTTCCTGCTGTGAGAAAATCAAGTTTTGATTGTCAAGCTTTTAAGCTTTGCTCGGTTACTGACGTGCTGGCACAATTTTGTTCAGAACTCTGCTGCTGAATCTGGTAACTTGGCATCTTTGTTGTTTCATATTGATTTTGTCTTGGCTCGTTATGACTTGGTTATGCAACGTGGCAAAGCAGGTACTCGTCAGTCGAGAAATATTCTGCGCAGCGATGCTCATTTCTTTCATACATAAGCGTTTTCCTCGTACTGTGCTTACAATGGAGACAGAAGTTTTGAGCACAGCGTGTCATACTAAACCCAAAATCCCTCCCATGCCCCTTCTATAAGATGCTTAATGTGGATAATAAATTAAATGCAGGTTATGTTTGGATAAATATGGTAAAGCTTTATTTATTGTATTGAGACATATCTTTGTTTTACCAAATGGGTAAATAACTTAAATCCATGAAATTATAACTTAATATTTTACCTTATTCCAGGTAATTCCATACATAGCAAGTCAATTTCGAAAAGATAAGATTTGGCTGAGAAGAACAAAGCCATCTAAACGGGAATATCAGATCGTGTTGGCCATTGATGATTCTTCCAGTATGGCAGACAATCGTTCAAAACAGGTAATAGACGAATACAGTATATCACATAATAGTGATATTTAGCGCCGATAATTTGTAATCTGTCAGTTTCTTGCATTGATTTTTGCTATTTGAAATATTAATTTTTTCCTTACTTATCATTATTATGTTCTACCAAGCTTCAAGCTGCCACAGTGTTCTAGCGGTCAGAACACTAGCCTTGTAATCCTGGGTTCAATTCCTGGTGGTGCTCAGATTTATAACTTGTGTTGGGCAAGGCCGTGGTCTAGGCAACACGGAGTTTTCCTCCGTGGCATCCCAACAATTACTCCATTCACACACAGAAGAAGGCAAGGGCAAACCACTTCTGGATCATCTGCCAAGAACGTATATGAACAGGTCCCAATCCGAGAAAAGGATGGAAGGATCCTGCTCATGAAGGCTGGCCTTGTAATCCTGGGGTCTCGGGTTCGATTCCCGGTGGTGCCCGAATTTATAACTTGTGTTTGGCAAGGCCGTGGTCTAGGCAACACGTAGTTTTCCTCTGTGGGCTTCCCCGGTTTCTCCGTGGCATCTCAACACTTACTCCATTCACACACAGAAGAAGGCAGTGGCAAACCACTTCTGGATCATCTGCCAAGAACGTATATGAACAGGTCCCAGTCCGAGAAAAGGATGGAAGGATCCTGTTCATATGGACCTGTCGTCAGACAGAACACTACAAATAAAAAATAAACCAAGCTTCAATGTTGATACTTGATATCATTTCAATACAGTAACTTAAATTTGGATTCTTAGGAATGAACTTTAGTATGTTCCATGGTAATTTAACCCTTTGACTTATATTTTTCATAGCTGAACCACTCTTGGAATCTCTTTTTTAAGAAATGCTTAGCTTAACATTTCAGTGTGCTTATATATAAGAGTATTAAAGATATAAACATGAAATTTTGAGTTATTTAAATCTTGTTGTCCTTGATCTGTATGCAGATTTGTGTTTTTTTTATATGTTATTTAATAACTGACACACAGAAGAAAATAAAAGGCACGCCAGTTAATAATGACACACTTTTTGGACATTATCTATTATTCCAATTTTTTTTTAAAAAGTTTACATTTTGGAGACTGGAATTTAATTAAAATTAGGCCAGTGGATAATATCCAGGTAGTTTGTCGTTGTAATGATATACCATCACAAATCTTCAGATTTTATTTATTAAGTGGATCTTTTGCTGCAGCTTTCGTTCTAATATGCCACATCATTCTTATTTTATTCTGTACTAGCTGGCATTTGAGTCATTGTCTCTTGTAAGTCGAGCATTGACTTTATTAGAGGCTGGAGAATTAGCGGTGATAAGTTTTGGAGAGATGCCCAAAGTGTTGCATCAGCTGGGACATCCTTTCACAGAGAGAAATGGTGCAAGGTGAGTTAAAAAAAGTGCAGGTAATCTTACTTCTTAATCAAAATCATATTCCGAAAAATTTACACCCATTAACAACATTTTGCCTCGTACCACACTCCCCCAAATAACTTTCCCGCCTAAATTATTATAGTGTTTAAAAATATTATTGTAATGAAACGAATACTAAAGATCAGAAATCAACACAATCATGTGTGATGTCCGTGTGGTAACTGTGAGCTAGGGTAGCGTCTCGATTGAATGACTGGGGTTTGATTATAATCCGGGGCAAAGGATTTTTCTTCTGATCTCTGCATCCAGACCAATGCTGGGGCTCACCCAGTCCCAGCAGGTACTAGAGATCCTTTCCCGAGGAGTAAAGGGTGGCTGGGGTGCGACTCTGACCACTCACCCCCCATCTATAGCCGAGGCCAAGAATGATTAGGAGCTATACCTCATATTTTACTGTTTTCTAACAAATTGAACAATAATTGATTATTGTTTGTGTATCAGTAATAGCTCAGTCAGTATAGCGACTAGGTACGGGCTGGACGACTGGGGTTCGATCCCCGACGGGGGCAGAGGATTTTTCCTCTAGCCTCTGCGTCCAGATCGGCTCTGGGGCCCACCCAGCCTCCTCTACGGTGGGTACCGGGGTCCTTTCCCGGGGGTAAAGCCGGCCGGGGCGTGATGCTGACCACTCACCCCCATCTAGTGCCGAGGTCAAGGAAGAGAGGAGCTATACCTCCGCTCACCCCAAACGCCTACATGGCGTATAGTGGGACAAACTTTACTTTACTTATTGTGTATCAGTAGTCTTTTTTCTGTTGTATATTTGTATGTAATTGTAAATGAGTGTCAGATGTTTCCACATTTCTGACAGATAAGTTACAACTTAGATTATGCCTTTCAGATTGCTACAACAATTCTCGTTTGATCAGAACAACACCCGCGTGGGACAGCTTGTAGACTTTGTAACAACAATGTTTACAGCGAGCCATCGCCGATCATCGAGCAATAATGAGCGAGCTCAGTTATTGGTAATTGTATCAGATGGTCGTGTCGTGAGCGAGGGGCCCGACAGGGTGAAGCAGGCAGTCCGGAGGGCCAAGCAGAATGGCATCTTCATGGTCTTTGTCATTGTGGACAACCCTGAAAGCAAGGTAATGGCGCCGATAAATGTTGCTTGTAGCGGTTCTTCTTATAGAGATTCCAGATGCCGCTAACAGATGTATGGTATTAAAATTAAAATGTGCCCTGAAAGTAGTGTTTTCTTCTCTGAAAATTATCTAAATATGAATGGTGACATGTTACATTGATCTTTCTCAAAAGTTAAACGAATCACTTATCTGATTTACGTAATGTGAATAATCCAACCAAACGTTCAGATTTCAGGTTTCCACAGCCGTGAAAAATTTGGGTTGTGGTCTTTGGATTGTTGAAGGTGGTTGGTTATTAACATTTTCAAATCTATTTATATTTGGCGTAACATAAATGTGCCTTACCGTAATCTGTTAGTAGATAAAACATGTTTAGGAAGCTAGTTCTGCTTCCATCATCAGGTTGAACTTTAGCGACGTACTCACTTGGCCTCATTGGATAACACTGGTCCACGGAGTGAGATTAGGTTTATCCAGTGGACGCAGTTGAGATGCGTCATATGTTTAGTTAGACGTCAGGAGATGCATTTGTGTGTTATGTATTTGAACCATTTAGGGTAAAAAAAATTCTGAATTTTATACATTCTAGTAAAATCTAAGTTAAGCTGAAGTTTAGAGTACGCCTTTAAAAATTTATGGAAGGTTTTTTGTAAGACAGACTTTTCTTATTTAGACCGTGTAGGAATCGGCAGCCACACGTAAATTCCTTTGTCTAAAATTTCATAACACTGACTTAATTTATATGTATTAATATTTTTATATGTAAAATCAAGAGAACTGGCTGCTTGTTACTTTGAAAAGTGTATTAAAATTTACTTTATTTTTTACTGAAGTTGACACGCTACAGCAGTGGTCCCCAACCTTTTTGTGCCTACGGGCACATTCGAGAGTCTATGAGATCGTGGCGGGCACCAACCAATTAACGAAGCCAAATTTTCTTTTCTCTGGACAAATAAGATATGGACACCAAATAACACACAAAACAACGCGACGTTTAATGTTACGAGAAACCACGCAATCAAAAATACGTAGTTTTATAAGTACAATTATTATTACTCGAGTGGGAAGTTAGTGTGATGTTTGGCACTGCATTTCATCGGCCAGTTTTTCAAATTTGGGAGTGTAGGATGATGTTGCTGCTCGCAATCGTCAAGATGGGCGTCAGTAAGTCGAGATCAGTGCTTTGATTTTGTAATGTTCGTGGTTGAACGGCCTTCATTATTCAGTATAACCTCTTTCCGTATCAACGCGGGCACCCAAAGAAAAAGCCTTGGCGGGCGCCGCGTTGGGGACCACTGCGCTATGGTCTTTCAGTTTGAAATCTTAGTTGAGAAAGTTATCTAAGTTCGTTAATACCACTAACTTAAAGTGTTTGTGTTTCAGGATTCCGTTCTGGATATTCAGCAACCGATATTTAGCGGGAGCAAGTGCGTGGGCTTTTCATCCTATCTCGATAATTTTCCATTCCCATTCTAT